AAAAATAGAAATAAAGTTTTGTCCGGTATAACAAAAATCCGTTATAACGAGGTCCGTTATAACGAGGTTTGACTGTACGTGATATTCGAATGTCTACCATTCTTTTATGACAATCTCAACCAATAAAAAATTGAACACTGTGTTATATCATCACTAATTTGGTTAATTAAAATTCAAAAATTTTTTTTTATTCTTTAAAAACATTTGATTTCCCAAATTTTTCAAAAAAATTCATATGCAAATACGAAAATATGAAATATTGATTTCAAGAAATATATTTTTTGTTCTTTTCAACATAACCAAAGGGGACGTCTAAAATTACCAGACGTCCCCTCTCACATCCTCGAAATTTGGTTAATATGATAATTGTCTTGTCGTTATCATATGAGTGATAAAATTACCAGACGTCCCCTCTCACATCCTTGAAATTTTCGATAATATGATAATCGCCTTGTCGTTATCTTGTGAGAAGTTTCGGGACTGTTTGCAAATATTATATATACACAATGTTTCATTCTTCAGCGCTGTTAGGAGATGACAATTGGAATAAGACTTTTTTTCGAATATTAGAGGAATAATTACAAAGTTAACATTTAAATTAGGTGAAAACAATCAAGTAACCATTGAGAGAAAAATATTCTTAATATTCTTTCTTAAGAATTAAAAAGTTTTTTTGGAATTAATTGATACCGAAGAAAATTATTTATTATTATTATGTAGTTTTTGCATTTATTTTTTATATAATGTAATTTTTTTTTTTTTTCATGTATTTTTTATTTTATCAGAAAATAAAAAAGATTTTGTTACACAATATTTACATTGTCTTTTTAATCAAAAAAAAATAATGACTAAAAGCAAACGTATGTGTTATGCATATAATTTTACAATCGAACAAAACTTTTAATCATTAATTTTATTAACGTTTACTTTTCTGTGTATGGCTCTAAAGTTTATATAGGACATCTTTCCTCAAGGACAGAAAAAAGAGATCTAGAGGAAAATGACGACAATGATTATATGAATCCTGGTCAACGACAAGAAATGTTAGATCAAATGTGAACCTCCGCCAA